GAAACTAGCGAGCTAACTTCCGCTAGCTTCCTGCTAACTTCTAACTCCGTTAAATATAATAACTTTTGTTTTCATGGATGCCTGGGAGTTAAATTTTATAGTTACACCTGGTTAAGCAGCAATGCTGATCGTTTTATTTAAGATGAAAGAATTTAGACAGTTTTTAACTCTTAGTGATGCTGCAGTGTTGTTTGTCCTGAAACATACAGAGTTTAGGACCCAGATTACTCCCAGATTTAAGAGCATCTTAGTCCGACAAATACGACTGTCTGTCACTACCCGATCCGTACCGGAAACCCGATCAATAACCCGACAATAACGACGGCCGCTTGCATGTTCTGCAAAAAAATGTGCTTTGTCGTGTATCTGACGGACAAACACCAAACCAGTTCCACATCAGGAAGTTGCACCATTTTTACAAACCAATTCTGGTTCATCTGTTTCACTCAACAATCGGCCATGTGCGTATGAAAACAAAGGCACTGCGCATGCGCGTTTTACTCCCATTGTATCGCGATATTTCATTTTCCTATCGTTGCCTAACATTATACCGGTATTACCGTGAATGGTATAATATGGCCCAGCCCTATATCTAACAATGGTTTGGTTCCCAGGTGAAATGGACTATGGAGGTGCTCTGTTATGGCCTGACCCTCCCCTTAGAGGGGGACACTGTCAAGCTGTGTGTGGACGTGTACACAGACTGGATGATGGCCCTGGTGTCGCCTAGGGACTCGATGCCTCAGCCTGTGGTGAAGGAGCCCAACATGTATGTCCAGACTATTCTAAAGCATCTCTACAACGTCTTTGTACCAAGGTATGTCTAAAAACTTTATTTCCCATTAGCTTGGATTTAAGGATGAATGCATTTTCACTGAAATCTTGGACTGCTTATATTGCTTTCATGTTCCCTCATTTCAAACAAGCTGTTTCTCCCTCCAGGCCTGAGCAGCATAGTCTGAACCACATCAGGCTTTGCCAGCAGGTTCTGACTGCAGTCCAGAAGCTGGCACGAGAGTCCGTTTCCATGGTGAGAGAGACCTGGGAGGTGCTGCTGCTCTTCCTTCTTCGCATCAATGACACCTTGCTCGCACCGCCCACAGTTGGAGGTAAACAAACCTTGCTCTCCTAAACTGTTCCTTCGTTATCTACTTGGTTATTATTTGTGATGATTAGTTATAATACCCCCCTGTTTTTCCCTTTTTCAGTGGGGGTAGCTGAGAAGCTGGCAGAGAAACTGATGGCAGTGTTGTTTGAGGTGTGGCTGCTTGCGTGTGCCCGCTGCTTTCCCACGCCGCCATATTGGAAGACAGCAAGGGAGATGCTGGCCAATTGGAGACATCATCCTCCTGTTGTAGAGCAGTGGAGCAGAGTAGCCTGTGCTTTGACCTCCAGGTTAGATTGGATTCAGTTCAACCTTTTGTGTTTTCAGTGGTAAAAGATTTTGTTAGAATTATGATATCTATATGTAGTTAGGTCCACAGGTTGTTGGACAGTGACAGTTTTTGGAGAGATTGCCTTCTTCAATGTAAAAGGCAGTCTCTCCATCTCAGACTAATAGAGCATGCTTTGCAGCTACTGAAGGCAAAGAAATTCACAAACAAGCAGCAACTGAAAGTGGCTGCATTAAAAGCCCAGGAGAACATCTCAAGGGATGAAATGTGGTTTGGTTTTTCGAGGTCTCTGTTAATGCAGTCTGTGTATTCCTGTCTCATTTCTTCGTTTCAGACTCCTGCGGTTTACTCATGGACCGTCCTTCCCACCTTTTAAAGTTCCCGATGAGGATGCCAATTTGATTCCTTTAGAGATGGACAATGATTGCGTGGCCCAGGCGTGGTACCGCTTTCTACACATGCTCAGGTGCTTATTGCCTCAACTGTATAAAAATGCCTTTGCTTGAAAAAGACATGTTCTTTCCTCTTTCTAAACGACATACATGGTGTTTGTTTGTTTGTTTTATTTAAGGGGAAGTTGAAGTTGCCTATCTGCTCTAGTTCAAGTCTATTCAACTGCATCCAAACTTTCATGTCTGGCTTTTTTTAATGTTATTTCATTTGTCATTCCCTCCTTTATTTCCTTTTACTTCCTTCGTCTACCCAACCTTATGTCACATTTATTCAAGAAAGATTTAGCAACACTTTTAAACATTTGGCTTAATCCATTATTATGTTTGCTTTCCTTTTTGTTTCCAGCAACCCAGTGGACCTGAGCAACCCCGCAGTAGTAAGCACCACTCCAAAGTTTCAGGAACAGTTTCTCAATTCGAGCGGCATACCCCATGAAGTGGTATTGCATCCATGTTTGAAACAACTACCCCAGATCTTCTTCAGGGCCATGAGGGGTGTCAGCTGCTTGGTGGATGCCTTCTTGGGTAAGAGGAATCCTGAGTTAAGATGAAAAGCTCAGTTGAGTGATATTTAAGACATTCAAAATGAAGCAGAGGATATACTTAAGGGATGAATGATAAAGCAACTTCAGCTTGGAGACCATTTTTGCAATCCATTATTTAATGGATTATGTTTAAGAAATATGTTGTTCCTGCTTTTGTGGCAGCTACCTGCTTTAGGAATTTATCCCCATATATTATTGTTGCCAGAAATGATTTCAGAAACTGCTGCAAAAGAAAGCGTTACTTTGACAGAAGTGTAAGCAGCTGGTTTTTATTGTGATCTGTTTGGCAAAAAGTTTAAGTCGCTCTAAATTCAATTTCATCCTGTAATCGTAATCTGTAGAATCTTGTCTTTAACAAACAGTAAAGCCAAACACTTCTGATGGGTTTTATAGCGTAGATGAAAATTTGTGTTATAGAGAGAAAAAGATTTAAAATGTATTTTTTTGCCAGTGTTGTTCTCTTACTACCTCTGAGTAATCTCAAGATGGAGGATGTCAGTCAGTAATACCTGTTTAAAGATTTCAATAGAAACATACCCGTGTGTATTTTTCTCTTTACACTGTAGGTGTCTCTGTTGAAAAGAAAGCTGTACGGGAGAGGGTGTTCACTTTTTGTCCAGTGCCGCTCTCTCATGGTACAGACATCAGCTGATACATGATATAATGTTTTGCTCTGGGCATGTTAGTGGATTGGTCCATTCACTGTTGGTGATGATACTCAGACTCACAAGTGATATATGTCAGATATTCAGGCTAAACTGCAAGATCATCAGGGGGACTCCTGCAGGCATGAAAATGGAAAATCAAAATGGAAATCAGTGATTGGTGATTTGTATCTAACCATTGTCTTGCATGTCTGTGAATCAATGCTGTCTATGATCAACTCACATACTGTCTTAAATAATACTGTAAATGGAAAACTGCTTCAAAATGATTATATTTTTATCCAAAACATGGTCTGTTCCCTGGGGGGGAAAACAATGGTTGCTGATTTATTTTTTTTATTTTTTCGCTGCCAGGCTAATCAGATGACACCGCCCCACCCCCAGATATCTGAGGAAAATTGGACTATTATACCCCGACTCATTTTACTTTTCTGTCACCAGGCATATCACGTCCCAGGGCTGACAGTGCCCCGCCCACTCCAGTCAACAGAATTAGCATGTCGCCGCCGCCCTCAATCACCAACACCACGCCTCCTCATAGCCGCAAGCAGCGCCACACAGTGGTCACCAAAACTACAAGCAAGAGTTCAGCTGTAAGTTCTGTAACTGCTACAGAGATGCAGAACAATAAGTGTAACTGTTAGATGTTTAGATCTTAGCTTTCTGTTGGTCTACAGACAGAAAAGAGTTAAATACTTGAACTTGGCACATTATTCTTTCCATGCTGAAGCTGCACTATCTAGAATTTGTAGGCAGTATTTCAGTACACTTGTCCAAATCTTGTGATCTTTTAGTTGGAACTAGTCAAGCTGTTTTCAGCCTATTGAGATATCTTCTATTCCCACCGCACCCTGTAGGGCAGTGGTGGTCAGCCAAACAAAACATCGCAGCAGCAACAGCAGCAGCAGCAGCAGCAGCAGCAGCAGACTTCGTCCTCCCCAACCCTTCTTTCCAGCCCCAACCAGAGCAGTTGGGAGTCTCGGCCCCTGCCAGCCCCAGCTCGACCGAAGGTCAACAGCATCCTCAACCTCTTTGGCCAGTGGCTTTTCGACGCTGCTCTCGTCCACTGTAAGCTCCACAGCGGCCTCAGCCGAGACCCCAGCATGACGGGTAAGAAGCGACGCGACGTCTCACGCTGTTTAAAATTATGCATGGGCAAGTCGGTGTTCATAAGTATGTGTTCATATGGAGTTATGTGTTTTTTGGTCTTTATTTTATTTATTTATTTAATTTAATTTTTTGAAAAATTTGTACTCTGTTGTTGGGATATCTTTTTGTTTTTTCACCATTTTCTCTGAAACTCTGTTGGGCCTTTCTGTGTGTGGAGGGCTTGGTTACAAGTGGCCTCGTATGAGATTTCCATCTGACTCTAATCCATTTGCATCGACCAACAATTTAGACCTGGCTCAAACTACATATAGGCTTTAACCCTATCCTAAGGAATTCATACGGTCATTTAATTGGTACAATCATTACTGGCAGCGGAGCTAAGAGTTAATGACAGCACATACACTTTTTAGCGTTTGCAATTGGCCCTCTTTGGCTCTTCTCACATTTCTCTTTTTGATGTAGTGTCCTGCACGTGTCTATCATGTCTGATTAATGTAAGAAATTTGTAATGGTCAGAAGTCATGAGCAAAAAAGAAAAACCACACAATTCATGCCTGATATGAATTGATCCCAAAATATTGGATCTGCTTTGATTTTTTTTTCTCTCTCCACTATTTCTGTTATCTTGCAGCCTCTTTTATCCAAATTCTCCTTTCTTATAAATCTTGTAAGTAGGAATGGCAGCTTTTTTTCCCCCTCACTTGATTTGCGTTTCTTGACAAAATCTTCTTGCTTTTGAGTTGAGTTCCTCATGGTCATCGTCATCATCACCATCTTTTTCTGTTCCAACTCCTCGCCATATATAAAAGTTCACCAGCATTCTTTCAGCGTTTCTCCAGAGGTTGATGGAATGGGTTTCACCAAACTGACCACTTGTCTCGACATTAACGTTGCCAGTTTGTGACAGTACCACCCCATTTAAGTTACCATTTTCTTTTTCCTTTGAGTCACGCTAATCCGTACTATTGTGTTTCAGACTCCCCTCGAGTTTAGCATTGTTTCTTGTATTTTCTTTTTGATGTTGTCAGTTCACTTCAGTTTTGAATTATATATTTTTTTTATTGGTTTAGTGCCTCAATGCATGAAGTGAATGTGACAGTCATATGATTGCAGCATTGAGGGATGCTGACACAGGGATTTTGCTTTATGTTCCTGCAGCAGTGAACGCCTGACACGTTTTTAGTACGAGCACACTACAACTTACTCACGCTTTGTGCCGGTGCTAGGCGGAACTTCTATGGCAAACTCTTTGTGTCAGAGTTCCCTTTATTGAATGCTTTTATTAAAGGATGTGAGTGTGTGTTTGCAGTTAATAAAGCCCTTCCTTTCTCTTGTTGTGATAGTGAGTTAATATCTGCTTTTTGTTGCTTTTATGTTTTTGAATTTTTACTGTTAACTTTTCGTTCTAGTGTGCATATAGTATATTTTTGTCTGCTTTTGCCTGTTTTGTCATACATGCATGAAAACTGAGGACTGCAATGGAATTCAGGGTTCTTTCATTCTTTTTTTTCACACTTTGTACAGCGATAGCCACTCAAGTGTCCTTGGAGCTGAGGAGGAAGGGTTCCCAAATGTCCACTGACTCCATGGTGAATAACCCAATGTTTGATGCCAATGAGTTCCCAGAGAGCTATGAAGCAGGACGGGCTGAGGCCTGTGGGACTCTGTGTCGCATCTTCTGTAGCAAAAAAACTGGAGAGGAGATTCTACCAGTTTACCTGTCGAGGTATATACTTTTTTTTTTTGCCAAATTAAACTGGTTTTGTTGCCATCTTCTTAACAGTAGGAAAGAAAATGATATGGTTTTCTTATTTCCTTTTCTGCAGGTTCTACATGGTCCTGATTCAGGGTCTGCAGATTTCTGATTTCATCTGTAGACCAGTTTTGGCTTCTATCATTCTCAACTCTTCCTCTCTCTTCTGTACTGACCTAAAGGGCATCAATGTGGTGGTGCCCTACTTCATAGCTGCGCTGGAGACCATTGTGCCAGACAGGTTAGACTGGTAGTTTACTTTCATTTGAGACCATTATTTGTTTTTACTCAGTCATGTAAATGTGTTATGTTAGAAATCAATTATATTACTTAAAGCATGTCTCCATTATTTTTGTTAGGGAACTGTCCAAATTTAAGATGTATGTAAATCCTACTGATCTGAGGAGAGCCTCCATCAACATCCTGCTTGCTATGCTCCCACTGCCACATCACTTTGGCAACATCAAATCAGAGGTAATGACTTTGGCGATGTTTATCTTTAAGCTGATAGTAACAGTCTTGCTTACTGCTGTGTATTGTACACACATTGGTGGCTCTTTCTTCAAATATTAAACTCCTTAAAACCTGTTGATGATTACGTAACCATAAAACAAGCCCTGAAACCTTTTCTTGTTGCAGAGTTTAAAGTTAATCAAGGTTGCTAACCACACTGACTCTGTGTTCTTTAGGTTCTGTTGGAGGGAAAATTCAACGAGGAAGATGGCTGGCCTCATGACCAGCCTGTGTCTTTCCTTTCACTGAGGCTGCGTCTTGTCAATGTCCTCATAGGAGCTCTGCAGACAGAGACTGACCCCACCAACACACAGCTCATACTGGGTATTTGCTGATAGCTTCATATATTTGATTGCAGTTATTTTAACTCTGTATATTGTTTGTACTTTATGATTGTGTAAAATTGTTTGTTTTTTTGTTTAATTATTATTTTTTATCCCTTTTTTCAGGTGCAATGCTAAATATTGTTCAAGACTCAGCTTTATTAGAGTCCATAGGCGCCCAGACTGAAACAGTAAGCTTGTTTTCTGCTAATTAGTTAATATTTACGGTGCTACAAGCTGGACTGGGCATTAAGATTTCTGTGTTTTTCGGTGGCAGGGGAGCATAGATGGCAGCCACTCAACCCTGAGGAGTCAGGGTCACAGCCGTACCAACAGTGGCATCAGCTTCAACAGTGGAGGCAGCACGGAGGCCACCAGCCCAGACTCTGAACGCCCTGCACAGGCGCTTCTCCGTGACTATGGTAGGACATGCCGCTCCTGAACATACACTAATATTTTTGTGCTTAATGAATTAACACAATAATACTTTATTTGGTCAGATAGCAGGTTTGCTGAAAGATTATTTCTAATGATCCCTGGCTGATTTCTCATTAGCTTCCAACTCCTCTTGACTTGTTTGTGGGTTTTTTTTTTTTTATAGCTAACGTGGTTAAAGTGGTATGCAGAGTTAAGAAGCGTTGGGTAAAATATCTTTGTAGGTGATGTAAAGTGTTTGCTGTGATGTTGTTTAAGAAGAATTTGGGATTGGGGTGGGTGGAGTTTCTGCTTTGATTTGCATTTTTTTTCTCTTAATGATTGGTTGCAACAATGTTGCCTAATCAAATGGATTTCAAATTTAGTATTTACTGTGCAGGGCTGAGTGATGTTTTGTTTTCATTTGATCGTTTTCTTTTTTGCACAAATTTATGTCTGTTTTCAGTGAACAGTGCTTCACATAGGCAGTTGTTTTCCAGCAGGAAACTGGGGGAAGGGATTGCTTGGTTCCTGTGAGACACATCTGTAGGACTATAGCATTGTGTTGTGAGGCTTAGTACAGGAAAAGCAATGCTTTAGAGTGGGTCATCTGTTGTTATAAATGCTGCAGCCATTTCAGTGTTATTTGGGTTTTCTAGTCAGTTTCTGTTCTGGTCCGTTCATTTAATTTCTTAACATTATCTCTTAAAAAAAACACTTGACAGTGCAGAGTTCTTTGTAACAGAGGTTGTAGTAAAAAACGGAAATAAAGAAGATTGTTGTTGTGTCACATACCTCACACAAGGTTGCGTTGCTTCCACTTGTAAAATTTCTTTTCTGGGACAAAGGTGTCCAGATAGTGGACTTTACATTGTTGTTGAAAATCAGTCTTAGGACTCTTTGTTTTCAAAGTTTTTAGCCCCTGTAAAAAGTAGCTCAAACTAGGAAAGTCTTTTGTCAGATGAACTGGAATTTTCCTTCCACTTACATATATTTAATGTAATTGGGTGATAAATGTTAAGTAATTCTTAAAAATTTCAGTGTTCCTCTGTTTTTAAAAAAAAATCTCGTAATTATTTGTTAAAATAAAATTTGAAAATGCTATTTTGATGTAAAAATGCTAACATCACTCAGTTCTGTTCCTCAGCATTTTACTGCTGTCTCTTTTTTACTCTGCCTGTATTTTGCGCAGGATTGTGTGCTTTGCTGTATTCTTTCACCTCTAATGCATGTTGTATGTTATTATAAAGCAATATCTGCTAACACCTGAGCATTCAGAAATGTCTTTCTGTGTGACTTTCTAGCTTTGGTTCTTTAATCCTGCATTGCTCTATTCTTTGCAGTGTTTGGTATTTTGGGGTGTTATATGATCTAGCTCTTCCAGATACTGCGGCAGGCCTGCTGGTGCGCAGCATCCACCTGGTCACTCAGAGGCTCAACTCCCAGTGGAGACATGACATGAGCATTTCACTCGCTGCCCTGGAACTGCTGGCTGGACTGGCCAAGGTAACTTGAACACCATAGAAGCTCAGTGTAAGAATGTGCAGTCATTACTAGCTGGACTAGCTAAGATAACTGTCGTGTTCCAGTACACCAATGTTACTCAGGCCTCAACAGCTTTAGTTACTGTAGTCTTAAAAAAAAATAAAAAAAAAAACCTTTAAAAAATCAATAAAAAAAAAAGAAGAGTTTTTGAAAGAGCTCTATTCCAGGAACACCCTTAATAAAATGTCTGGGCCGATTATGGGGTCAAGCGAAACCAGCTGCGTGTAGGGCGTGCTAACTTATACCGATAGTTATTACGCCCCATTCCCAAATGACACAGTGCAGCTTCACAGAGGACTTGTGATACATTTGGGTGTTTTTTGCCACCTTCAGTCAGTTAATTTCCTAGCTCAGAATAAGGGAGTTGCCCTCACATTGTACCACAGATTACTGTAAAGAGAGTTTCTCTAACTTGTAATGACTGTGAAGTTTGTGTTTGCAATCACACTGCCAAAATGCAGGAACAATTAATATGTCAATATTCTACTTAATACAGAATTCCGAGTATAGAAAAGACAATATTCTTGTCTTTTGGCACAACCCACTTTCATTGTTGCACTTTTTTTGTTGCACTGTTGTGTCTGCACTGCCTTGTGCTTGTATCATTCTGTTCTGTCTGGTGTTGCACTGTTTTTGCTTTGTTTTGTCTTTTTGTTTTTTGCAACTTTTGCCATTTTTGCACACTTGCACTTTATTTAGTCATGTGTTGATCACCTGTTATATGTAGCACCAGGGTCTTGGAGGAACGTTGTCTCACTTCACTGTGTAATGTACCACTGCACATGGTTGAAATTACAATAAAGCGACTTGACTTCACTGTTCCTTTACATACTTTTCTACTCATAATCAAATATGTTGTCATTTTGAAAAAAAGGGCAACATTTTTAAACCAAATTTTTTCACAGTTGCATAAAACAAACCACTTTTAAAATGTATCTAATATAGAAGATTTTTTTCCTGTGTCTTTGTGTATGTCTTAATCAGGTGAAGGTGGGGGTCGACTCTGCAGACCGTAAACGTGCTGTCAGCTCGATATGTGGTTACATTGTGTTCCAGTGTAGCCGTCCAGCTCCTCTTCAATCCAGAGACCTCCACTCCATGATTGTAGCTGCCTTCCAGTTTCTGTGTGTGTGGCTCACAGAACACCCTGACATGTTGGATGAGAAAGTAAGTCTAAAGACCTTTTTCCCTCTCTCTTTCATGTATGTCGGTAGGTAAGAGAAAATCGATATATTGTTTTGTATTTTCTTTTGCTCCAGGACTGTTTGGTTGAGGTTTTGGAAATTGTGGAGTTGGGAATCTCAGGCAGTAAGTCCCGTCAGGAGCAAGAAGTTCGACATAAAGGGGAGAAGGAGCACAACCCGGCTTCCATGAGAGTGAAGGATGCTGCTGAGGCAACTTTGTCCTGGTGAGACTAAAGCCCCCTTTTTTCATTAGTACCTACTCCGGTCAGCTTGCCATGCTTTTCAGGGTTTTCCATTTGGTCATAGTACCTGGTGCCAGGTACTTTATTTAGCACCTACTCCGCCGGGCTTCCAAGCAATCGTATCCAAAAATGTGACATCAACAGACTGCATGCCACCAGTCAGTGGCATCACTTGATGAGTCATGAGAGCGTCTCATTCAGGAAAATCCAAACCAAGCAACGAGGGGAACGGCTACAAAAACAACGCTGTGGTCCCCTAGTCTGACAAAAAAAAGCCACAGACCGAGCACCAGGTATATCGTTGCCTCAACGCCCAGCTTTGTTGTAGCATTCATGTCACGCACTAATTACGCCACGGGACGCTCGGCTGCATTGCTATAACCACAACCAGACACATTAGGTGGTAGTGGATTGTAATAGAATGGGAGTCCGGTCAAGATCAGACTAGGTACTAATGGAAAAAAGGCTTAAGCTCCATTGGCCGTTCAAACATTTTTCATTGTAAAATGGTTACGTTACCATTTCATCACCTGTATAAGTCTTGTGATGTGACCAGCAGTCTGCAGCAAACACCAGATTTCCTACTGTGGGATCTTCTTATCTTTAAACTTAAACACTTGTATTGCACCTTGGCTTTTTGATAAGCTAGTAAAAGTATGTCTACTGTAAATTGTCCTTTGTTTGCTAGATAGGCTAGACAGATTGATATCACCTCCAGTGGCAGTCAATCACACAATAAATTTGTATATAACTTAAATTTAGCTACCTGTGACAAAGCACAGCCACAAAGTCAGCCACAGCCACAGACCGAGAATCTCAGCTGCACACAAAAACAGCTGCGCAATGACTAAACTCTTCCTGTTTATAAAGGTCTATCAGAACTGGGTCCAAAAATGGAGTTTACTGAACAGTTTATAACAAAGTGTAAATAAAATCGCACTATTTTGCCCCAGATATTCATCCAGCAAACCTCTCAGCTGTGAGGGGAAACTCCCCACTCAGCATAGCCGTGGGTTGCGACTAGGGCTGAACGATTATGGAAAATAATCTAATTGCGATTTTTTTTGCCCCATTTTTGGGTTTGGGTTGGGTTTTGGGTTTTTTTTTTAGGTTTTTTTTTTTTTTTTTTTTTAACCAAGGCCAGGCATTCCTTCTTTTGGTTTGGCAATACTATATTACATTAATTTTAAACTGTTCTTTCCTGGAAGACAGACCTCTGTTATGATGACATGAGGTGATGCATGAATTGATGACTGACATTTTTATTTAACTTCTTCAATCACAACAGTATATTTGAACATACACAATAGTTTATTTTTAGCTTACAAACATCTGAGCATAAAGTGCTGACAAGGAACCCTGGTGTAAACATTAAAATGAAAGTCAGTACAATGTGCAGATTGCAGAAATATACATAAAAAAAATCGGTGGCTTTACCACACTCAGTTTTTCGACATCTGTGAACTACTAGACAGTCATTCAATTAAAAAATAATATTAAATAAATAAAACTAATAAATAAAAAATACACACATCTTACTGATCTCTGCAGTCAGTAACATTACACATAAAGTGCAAACATAATAGCAATTGTATAAACACACACACAAACACGCCTTTAAAATTTAAAGGCGTGAAATTGGACGGTCTAGTTCTGATTAGCGTCACCGCTGTCTCGGTGGAGTTTAATAAACTCGGCCGTCTGCTTCTTGCTATCTAAAATATAACCAGACACTGGTGTAAATTCTCGACTGTCTCATACTTCTGTTTAATAAGTTTTCTGTTTGACGTTTAGTCAGCTGTGTGAAAACCAAGGAGGAACCCACCCGGGGGATTAATAAAGTTTTATTTTATCTAATCTAATAACTTTAATCTCAGCCAAACCGATTTACTCACGAACAAACAAAACACTGAAAAAAGCCCAACAATAACATTTTTAGGTTGTCTAAGTGACTTATATATTACGTTTAACCCGAGCAGCGAAACTCCGCGGTGATCTGAAAATGATGTGCCGGGAGTTGTGCCGTTTTCGGCCGCATCAGTAACCCTCGAGCTCCCGGCTAGCTGTCGAGCTGGAGGGTAGCAGACGCCTCTGAAAACGTCGAAGCACTTTTGCAAATATGGGATATCTTGATAAACCGAGCAGATATTTGATGTTTACACAGCTACTTTCTCGCCTGAAAATATGTTAAAAGTTTATTTTGTGACCCAGAAAGATTAGTATGAGTAATTTTAAAACTTAGTAGCGGCCGCCATTGCTGAAACTGGAGTTTGGCTGGGCCGCGCTATGAATTCTGGGATATGGTAGTAATTTGGACAGCCTTCGGCGCGTCGCTGTGACGTAATCGGTCTACAAATGCGGCCTCAGGAGGATGCAGCCCATGAATTTGGACATGTCCAGAGTATAATCGCAGCCTTTGCGGTTAGAAAATTGCACTTGATCATGTCGCGATATTATCGCAAATGCGATATATCGTTCAGCCCTAGTTGCGACTTGGCCAGTCAGCCAGAGAAATTCACCCCCATAGTGATGCTGATGACTTTTCCATCATTAGACTTGGTGATAACACTGAAGTGGATTGTGACTGATTCTTATAAACCAAGTAGGGTTTTTCTTCAAAATCTTTTATGACTGTGCTAAAGTGTTGTTGCTTCTGTTGTTTATTTTTCTGCTTCCTCAGCATCGTAGCTGGCCCACTTTTTTTGCTGAACCTTCATACACATGACTTTTGGATAGTGAAATATGTTGCATTCATTGACCCAGTTTGCTTGTATTTATGTTCTTTCTTATATTTGTGTTTCCCTGGTGCTCCCTAGTATCATGCAGGTGTTGGGGGCCTTCCCGTCTCCCAGTGGGCCTGCGTCTACTTGCAGCTTGCTGAATGAAGATACTTTGATTCGCTATGCCAGACTCAGTGCCACAGGAGCCAGTAACTTCCGTTACTTTGTCCTGGAAAACTCTGTCATCCTTGCAATGCTGGAGCAACCTCTTGGCAATGAGCAAAGTCAGTAGCTTATTGTCTCGCTTTTGATATTTTTAGTTAATAAATTTGAATGCTGGGAGAAAACAAAGTGTCTGGTATGCTTTTAATATGGGTCTGTTTTTGTCCTCACAGACCCCAGTCCTTCTGTGACAGTTTTGATCCGGGGAACGGCTGGTCGACATGCCTGGACCATGCAGCTCTTCCATCAACCGAGAGGGGCCAGGGCTAATCAGAGGGTGAGATCGCACTCTAGATTAATACTAATTAAAGTTAACACATTTTAAGCTAACTTTGCTAAAACATATTTTAAAGTTGCACCATTTTGTCAAACTTGTAGCACCACATCTGATAACACATCTCTGTTATATATCTGTTTTCTTCTCCCCTCCCGCAGCAGGTGTTTGTTCCTGAAGGCCGTCCAACACCCAACAATGATGTGGGGATTAAGTACAATGTGAAACAGAGGCCCTTCCCTGAGGAGGTGGATAAGATCCCGCTTGTCAAAGCTGATGTCAGTATCCCTGACCTGGATGACATTGTTAGTAAGGAGGTGAGAGATCAGCTTCCCGTCGAACCCTATAATTAAGCTTCTATCCACATTATGTCTGATAACACAAAAATTAAGTTATTCTCTTACAGGTATCGGGTAAACCATGATTTGTTATATCTTAAAGAGTATTGTTTGTTATTGCACAAACTTAGGTGTCTTGTATGGGCTGGGAGGAAGATTCGAGAGCTTCAGATTCACTGAACAGAATTTGCCCTCGTGTGAGTTGTTGGAAACAGGAGGGCTCATTGGGTGTTGTGTTAAATAGGTCAAATCATCTGGTTTAGTGGTGATCATTTTGTGTGGTTTCTCAATCCTTTGCCGTTTCTCTGTGAAACTACTGGTGCTTCTCTAACACTGTCTCAACAAACTTTTATAAGGGCTGGAGAATGCAAACCAGTACAACAGCCCTTTAATAAACTAAAGGGCTGTGTACTGGATTGCATTTGATGGTATGGGTGATCCATTATTAAATGTTTCCCATGGTTATAAAGTACAGATGACACTGTCATAACGTTTCCTCTCACCTTTGGGGGTCAGTATCTGTTTGGACTGTGAGGGTTCTGCTTCAATTCACGTTGAGCTCATGCAGTCGACGACTGTTCACGAGGCCCTGTTTTAAAGATGTCCCGCCCCCATCTTTTCAGCTGGAAGTTCAGCACGACAAGCTTCGTAATCTGATGACCAAGCAGATAGAGTATGAGAACGCCTTGGAGCGACACAGTGAGGAAATCTGGAAGTCCACTCCTTTTCCTGACCCACAGACAGACTGCAAACCCCCTCCACCCTCACAGGAGTTCCAGACAGCACGTCTCTTCCTCTCCCACTTTGGCTTCTTGTCTCTGGAGGCACTTAAGGTCAGTTACTTTTTAATGTCAGATTACAAACTCTTTGATTGATCGGTATTAAATATACATGCTAATTGGTAGGTTTCCATTGTCTTTCTATTTAAAGCCTTTTTCAGATAAACGATGGGTTGGTTCTTTTTGTTCTTTCTACTATTCCGTAAAAGTTGTGATGGAGATCTTAATGTTTCTCATCTTGTAACATTTATGTATCACTTTAAATACGGCACAAGTTTGAGTGTATGTTATCGCATTAATGGATAGTATAGATCTTGAGTTGCTGAGCTAATATGAAGACATGTTTGCAAGAATGTGCTAAACTGCTGTACATGAAAGAAAGATGAACTTCTAAAAGCTCTTTAATTTGAAAAAAGGTCATATTAAAAATGTTGCCTATCTGATCCTGACAAAAAATACTTAAATCTGTGAAATAAAATGTATTTGTTAGAATAATGTTTACATAACCCTTCATAGGAACCCAACAACAGTCGTCTACCTCCTCACCTGATTGCCCTGGAGTCATCCTTGCCAGGATTTTTTGATGACATCAGCTACCTGGACCTGCTTCCCTGCCGACCTTTTGACACGGTCTTTATTTTCTATGTGAAACCTGGACAGAAAAGCAGTCATGAGGTAAGGGAATACAGATTGATTGATTATTGTTTACCTTTACAATGTACTGATGTTAACTTAGTTACTTCTTCCAGTTACTTATTTATTTACACACATAAAGAGGAACAGGAAGAAGAAACTCTTTCATTATCTTGTTCTTGTTGTTGGTGATCAGATCCTAAGGAATGTAGAGTCTTCGGCCAGCGTCCAGCCCCACTTCTTGGAGTTCCTGTTATCCTTGGGCTGGCCTGTGGACGTGGGACGCCACCCAGGTTGGACAGGACACTTGGACACCAGCTGGTCTGTGAATTACTGCTCTGATAGCAATGATGTACAAGCAGGTAAGACACTAAGATGGTCATCGCAATTGTTATTTATTTGTTTATATGTTATTAGTAACTCAATGAATCTTTGTTTGTTTTTCCAGAGGAAGCGGGTACACCGGAGGACACTGGTGGTTCGGTGTTCAACGGAGAGAAGAAAGTTTTGTACTATGCTGATGCTCTGACAGAAATCGCCTTTGTGGTTCCTTCTCTAACAGAACACTCAGGTCAGTATTCACGATCTTCAATATGAATTCAAAGATACTGAAAGCCTCTGTGCTGAATTGGAGTTGCAATTTGCTCTCATTTGGCAGAGGAGTCTTCAGTGCACAGTGACTCCACGGTGGAGGCAGACACCAACTCAGAACTCATGCCCGGTGTGCTCAAACAACCCAATCTCACACTGGAACTGTTCCCCAACCATTCTGAAAGCATGGAGTCCGCTAAAAAGGTAGATTTCAGCTTCTGTGAGTATATGTGGCCTCTAATGTTTGATGTAATGCTTGATCAAAATGAATTTACCTGTTTTATCTAGCTGAGTCCTTTAGTGAAGGCAAAGAGGTCATCGACTGGAAAATCCTTCCCCCAACTGGGGCCTGAAACAAAGGCGTTTGTGGTCTGGGTGGAGCGCTTTGATGATATTGGTAGGTATAAAGTCTCTATTCGGCCCACCACCCCTCCTCTCATACTGTAATTTAAGACTAGCCCCCTTCATAGATTATAGTCAGCCAGCAGGTTTATCCTCACAAAATATTTTAGTATAAAATACTTAATCTCTGCACTGTTAGATGTTGTCTGTAAGAAGGTGTTTGCCAAATTATCAATGTGCATGAAAGTCTTCATTTCTCTGTTTTTTGTTTGTTTTTTTAGAGAACTTCCCTTTGACCGACCTTTTAGCGGAAACCAGCACGGGCTTGGAAGCTAGCATGAGCAACAGCACTTCCTGCAGGTATTCACAAGCTTATGCTTAATGCACTTGCCTGCCAGTATAAAAAAAACATGTGGTTTCTGAATTGGTTTTGGTCAGGTGCAAAAAGGAAGAACAAAAAAAACAAAAAAACAATGCTGCAAAACCCAATGTGCAAAACAGGAAGTGCTATGCAGCGGGCTGAAAAGAGGAACTGTGGCAGAGCAGTGACAGCAGTTGTCAAGTGACTTGAAAGAAAAATGAATTAAAAGCATTTTTGTAAACATTGCTCCTTTGTTCACCATCAGCAGAATTACACAGTTATTTAAATAGACAGAGTACATGCATTTGAAATGTAGCTTTCTTCTTATCCTATCTTTGCCTCCCTTTTCACTTTATTCTTAATGTTGCAGGTCGGGGTTACTAGAAAAAGACGTTCCTTTGATCTTCATCCACCCTCTGAAGACGGGACTCTTCAGGATCCGCTTGCATGGTGCTGTGGGTAAATTTGGCATGGTGATTCCTCTGGTGGATGGCATGGTGGTCAGCCGCAGAGCTCTTGGTAATTGCTCATTTATCTTCCACTTACTTAACTTGTCCATCCTTACCTTACCACACTTCAGCTTTTTTCATGCATCACAAGGAATCATTTTCTCACTATTAATGCGCACGCATGAGTATTGCACAATGGATGTTTTTACTTGGAAATGCACAGGAAATAAACTCCCATTTAGAAAGTGTGTGGTGTTTCCCTCTGAAGTTCTGTTTTCTAATGTAAAAGTATTGCTCATCTGTGTCGTCAAGTTGCATCACCAGGCTTTGAAAGAACCCATTTAAGGCATTTATTTAACTTTCCTGTGTTGATGAACAAGTTTAACTTTGGGGGGAAATAAAAAAAAAGTCTTACTCTGTTGAATGTGCTGCAACTCTTGGCCAGCAGATGGCACAGTTAAGTGTTTTGGTTTTATCTGTGGCTCTACACTTTCACACATAATACTCTAAATCCACGTAACTCACATTGGCTGTGTCGCGCGTGAGTACTGATGAGCTTCTGTTTGTGTGTCTGCCTCTCAGGGTTCCTCGTGCGCCAAACGGTCATCAACGTATGCCGACGGAAGCGTCTGGAGAGCGACTTGTACAACCCTCCTCACGTGAGGCGGAAGCAGAAAATAACCGAAATTGTGCAGCGTTACCGCAACAAACAACTGGAGCCCGAGTTTTACACCTCGCTCTTCCATGAGGTGGGGGAGGGAAAGCCTCACCTCTAACCCTCCCCCCCTCTCCCCCGTCTCCTGTCCTAACACTGGCACACAAGCGCACACAACAATACACACATGCACGCACACACCCCCGTTATTCTGTACTCATAAACCACCTACAACTGTGCTTGTACACACACAGACACACACATGCACACACAGAATCTTTATATTTATACTGTATAATTTTGTTATTTATATGAATACATATATCAGCACTGTTTGCCTTTGACTCTTAGATCAAAGTGTCAAAAACCATGCCAAGGTGGGAAAAAACAAACGACATTTCTGTGTTGCGGCTACTCACTGAAGATCTGAACGGCTGAAGTTCAACAGTGAACTTTGCTCCTCGTTTTTAGGTTCACGCTTTGTGGCAAAACAATTTCTGCTTGTCTTTAACCGCAATACAGTAGTTACACTGTTGGCCTTTCTGAACTTGTAAAAAGTTTGTCCGTCGAACCTTGTAATATGAATGAACTTCAAGAGGTTTGGTAATACAGAGTTGTGTCCAAAATCCAGATCTGCTCATCTGTTTTTGTTTCTAACAGATTTATGGTTGGATTATTATTATTATCATTTTTTTTGCCAAGGAGATAAACATCTTGTATCCACCTTAAAATGTCGTAAACACATATATATGTATATATAGCTTCAATGCAGGTAACTTAAAAGTTGACCCGTCATTGGATCTGACGACAGACTTCCTCGACGTTCACACACATACACACACATGCAGACACACACCCTGCTTTAGTCTTCCTAGTGTGAACGCACACTTGGCCTCCGCAGCAGCTGACTAAGCACATGAGACGTTTATAGTTTTGTATCGTTTTCTTCTGGCTTTTACTGTATGTAGACGTCATTTTTGACACTTGTGCTCTGTGCCAGGCCATCCCATTGCGCAGCTGCCACTACATTTTGTGTGTGCATGTATGAGTAAGAGTGTGTGTGTGTGTGTGTACACAGCAACGTTTGCTTGTCCAGCCAGTCACTTGACACTACAAGGAGTCCGAGACCCCTAAAAGCCCAACACGTTGCATTTAAGGTTGAATCCTGTCACTTTAAAATATACAGTTTTGAAAATGCCACGACATACGTCGATCGCGACATTAGATTTTAGTTTACTCTTAATGCTTGGAAACACAAGAGTTTACTAATAGTGAGAGGGGCTACAGAGCTCCTGGAGTTTGCGCTTGATGTTTTCAGGCCTAATTTGAAATCACCACATTTTTAAGGTTGCAAGTATCTCATTACGAAGCAGAACCAGAGCACAGTTTTTAAGTGTCTCGCTCCTCCAAACAAAATCTATGTGATAGATTCAGAGGCCAAAATACTTGATGTAGCTAACAGGATTATGTGACTTTATTTTGGCTGATCAAAGCTGTATTTTCTTTCTTTTTCTCCTTTTCTTTTCTTTGGAAATGTAAACCCAGGAAGAGATAATATTTAACATGTCAGTTATCTTCAGTTTGGATTGCAGAAATGTGCACTTTTGCCTTCACAAATGTTATGATAATTTTCTTTTTTTTTTAAAAAAAAAATACAATTTCACTCTTATTTTTCTCACTGTACTTTTGGTTTTAATTCAAGCCCTCTCACTGTCTGCCTGTAACAATGTGAATTTATTTATCACAGAGATGGAGCAGGGCAAACACCTCTAGTTTCTTTTGTTATATTGGAAAGTCTTAATGCACTGAGCACATTTTTATGTTCATTTTATGTTTATTTTCTATTCTCTTTGGTTACCTTACATGTCCTCTTTTGTACTTTTGTGCATTTTTGGAAGAAAAACCCTGCTGAAGGAAGAGTTTTATCTTGTGAAATATGAATGAAGAGGACGCGCTGTGGAGTTTTTAAACCTGTCGTGTCTAATTGTGACTCACTTTTTATGACAGTGCTGTATGCACATGCCTTTTTCGGAAGGAAAGTACATACAATGAAAGACAAACTACATACAATGAGTCACACGTTGTATCCTGTAAGTCCTCTGAGGTTTGAGCATATTTAAGGATTTGCCATGTACAGAAGCAGAGGATAATATGTAAATATGTGATAGATCAAGGCATTTACAAGTTGTTGCATTCCTCATCTGAGATGGCAGAAAAAGATATGTATGTATGCGTTTTTTTTGTGTGTGGGAGGAACGCAATGGGTATTGAATGTAACATGCATCAATTAAAACTATTATTGACATTTTAATTTCCTTCCATTCATAATATTTGACTTTTTCTTCACAGATTGAAATCTTTTTCCTCTTAATATTTTTTTATATTCTGTTCAGTGAGTTTCTTTCTGAAAGCAGATGTGTTTAGAACCTGTCAGATGAATTAGAATATTAACTGTGAATATTTGTACCGCCTGCAGAGTGAACCTGCCCTCTGGCGTGGACTGGGTCTGACTGCAAAGATACTTGAGGGATATTATCTGTAACCCAAGGCTGAGATAGTGACAGCCAATAAGCCTGTATGCCCTGAAGCTATATTAAAATATTTATGTTCTGCAACTGAAAAAAATAAATAAATGATTTGGTTAACAATATTGATAAATCCAGATTATGAAAAACAGCTTAACCTAGGCTTCTGGGCACAGGTTTGAACCTTTAATTGCCAGCAAGGTGAATGGAGGATTACCATTTGAATTTCTATTGCATCAAAATACACAGCTTTTGTGACCACGTGTTTTGTTTTTTTTAAGGCAAACGTTAGGAATTGCTGGGGAAATCAATGATGATATTAAAAAGTTTATTTTCTTGTATCAGAGCTTGTAGACCGTTCCTGAAGTCCTCCTGCCCATCCCGGACTTGAAAGTTGTATTTTGGCCTGCAACCACTTGAGGGCGCGTTTCCCTTATTAACGCTCACTGAGACCCCGCGTGGGGATAGCTCCTGTGACAGGCAGGGGGCCTGAATGAGCATTGTTATGGTAAATATTTGACATCAATGAAAGTCAAGACCTTTAATTAAGGTTTTAGGATTACTGTCGTATTTCGCATGGTTTCTCACAAGTTGTATGTGTTTAGCTCACTAGTATCGTATTTGACTAAGAAGGAGAAACGCCAGCAAAATTAGGAATACCTGTATGACTTGTACCTGTTAACCGTCTTCTACAAAGGCAGCTTAAAGTTCAGTATTTGTTGTTTTAGGCGAGCTGCGTTTAGGTTATTTATATTTTGTTGCCTTTGGGGCCCCTTTAGTACCATGGGAAATGGGATACTCCGGGAGTTTACTTAATAGTATCAGACTGTGGCGTGTACGCATTTAAAGCTACTGTGTCTGTAGCTCTCGGTGTCCAGAGCAGTACTGGGCTCTCTCTATGTGTCTGGCAGGCAGCGGGTCCCTCCCCCTCCTCCCCTCTCTCCGCTTTGCTGCCTCGCTCGCTCTCAGCTGCTGCTGCTGCTGTGACTGCGCTCACTCCGTCTGGCTCTCTGCTTGTTGTTTGGTACTTTTGGTGAACTTTTCTTCCAGTGTTTCGCAACAGTGCTCTGCGAGGTTTTCGGGAAAAACTTCCTAATGCAAAAATGGACTGAAGCAACGACCCGACAAAGTGCGGATACTTAGGGGGAGAAAAAAAGGAGAGTATTTCTGTAGAGAGCGACCTTTCTGAGGGTTGAGTTACCGTCATGGAAGAGGACGACGGGCATCAGGAGAACTGTATCCCCGCAGCCAAGGACTCGGACCGACAGCAGCGGCTGAGGCTGTGTGTTTTAAATGAAATACTGAACACCGAGAGGGATTATGTTCGGACGTTGCTTTTCCTCCAGTCGGTAAGTTTGACATCCTCTCGCAAGTGTGTCTCCCGTACACTGGCAGAACATGATGCCAAACTCCAGTTACAAATCTGTATATTAGCGGATGTTTTTTATTTGTTTCCGAATGCACGCTCATCTCGTGTGTTGTTCTAGATGTTTTTCCAATCCCCGGACTACTCTTTTTAAATCGGCATACACAGAAAAAGATTAAGAAGCAGCCTTTGCAAGGAAAAAACAAAAGCAAAAAAGCAACCCACCCCAAAGATCTAATCTGATCTAACCTGTCAGATTAAACCACAATAAATTTGCATTCAGTTTGGCGTGATTCTGTGTCCACGCGGGCTGCTTGAACCTTTACTTCAGCGCTGTCTGTGAACGCTTCTTCTGTAGGAACGGGCTTGGGACGCGCAGTTGCCGTTTGCTGCTGTTTGCGGTGCTTTTAATTGCGACGCAGACTGACAGCTTTGTAAAAGACCTGCGTGCATCTGAGGCTACTGTTATCAATGAAAACTTTTGAGATGTTAAACCGTGTTTCTTGGGACGTCTGCGGGGACTCATACATATTTAGTGTTTTGAGGAGGGTGGTGGTGTTATTCTCACCTTTCCATTGTGTGTTAAAGCTCAAGCTTGAAACAAACAAAGGAAAGGAGAGCCCAGTTCGCACATGCATTTTTTAAATACAAATAAATAGGTATTCAGGAATATCACACCCTGCTACGCCTCCTTTTTTCAGACAGCGATAAGAAACCATTTGCTTATTCGCTCTTTGTACATCAGCTACCTCATGAATGAACGTCCTGGTAATTTTGCATGCTCCATTCAGCCGCCGAGCACAGCGCGAGTATAGATGGCACCCACCTGCAGGGGGACTATTCAATTTGTTACTTCCCCTTGTCATTTTCCGTTGGCCTTTCCTCCCCTCATCCCCGCCTTGTCATCTCTGGTAATTGTACAGTGCAGGTGGCTCCTGCCTCCAGCTGAGACTCATAACCACAGCGTGGTTAACTCCACCTCGCTGCATTTAATGTGATGACTATAATGTGACCTTACTTATTTTTCTTTTATATACAATGGCTTATTTGTCTGCTTCAGGGAAATTCCCACTGTCGTTGCCCCTTGCACATAAAGGTCAGGACAACTACGTCTATCTTTCTTTTGCACCCTGCCGACTCGATGGCAGACTTTGATTCGCATCATTTTCACTTTGCCTTTAAAAACAGTTTATGGTGATATTGCGTTTCCTGGTGGTTTTTTTTTTTTCAACATTTCAACATATGACGCATTTTTGCTAAACAATGTCACGGTTCCCTCTTTCCTCTCTGCTGTCACGTGTTGAACTTCCTCAAAGTTCTTGAAGTGACCGGTGCAGAAGGCTCACCGCACCACCGTGTCATGCCATTCGTGGTGCATGGCATTTTCAGAGTTATACCTACGTAATATAACTTCACTGTTCCGTACCCAGCTCAACAGTGGACTCAATTGAGGCTTATCTTCTGTTGCAAGGTGGCAAAGGGACATTCTTTGACCTCCCTCCACTCTCACCACGCACAATGGTAATGATGAAGTCTCAAAGGTTTATCAGGGAAGTCTGAACATCAAAACTGTCAGTGCTTCGTGCCCTTCACCATACCCCGGCCTATCATCACGTGAGCTGGGAGTCTTTTGATTTAAGCCACATGGTGTTTAGCCTGAGGCAAGTGATATGGTCTGGCTTGTGTGATGTAATGTTATTGCCAGGGTCTTTTCATAGAATAGTCTCTATGCCCATTTCATGAGCCAATGAGATTTTGTTTTAAAAGTAAATACTACCATTTGGCAACTACTCAATACAATCCAGCATCTTTTTTAAAAAAAACATTTTTTAAATGCCAATCATATCCAGCGATGTTCTGTGCTGCAGAAACTGACAGGTTGGTTATTTGTATCATCTTGTTAACAAGTGTTTCTTTGGATCGGAATGCATGTCTGCGAATGCCTTCGTTAACAGTCATCTTCACGTGTGCACTAAAGAGGCCTGATGGCAAAACACACTGCTCCCCATTAACATGTGACACTGTCCACTGAATTTTCACCTGGGGGGGTGGATGGGTGATGAGGTGCTTACACTGCTAAAGGCAAACATGAGGATCCAGAACAAAATGAGAAAAGAAGCCTCGCTCTCCACCACCTCCTCCATGGCCAATCCTTTGCGAATCCCCCCCTCTACCACCCAGTGTTTTCTGTCCAGGGTTCAGCTCGGCAGAAAACCCTCAGTGAGAACCCTTGCTGGGAGCCAAGGCTATGTCACCATGCAGCTCACTGTGGTGTTGATAAGGAAAAGTCTGGCTGTGGGAGCTCAGAACATATGTTTCAGTAAAGGTGTGGGCAGATAGTTTGGGGATGCGTACGCCCCATAGTGTAAAAAAAAAAGAAAAAAAAGGCCGAGATGGGCAGCCTATTTAAATAAAGGCAGCACGGTGGCACGGTGGTTAGCACTGTTGCCGCACAGCAAGAAGGTCCTGAGTTCAATTCCACCATCAGGCCGGGGTCTTTCTGTGTGGAGTTTGCATGTTCTCCCCGTGTTTGCGTGGGTTCCCTCCGGGTACTCCGGCTTCCTCCCACCGTCCAAAGACATGCAGCTTGTGGGGATAGGTTAATTGGATAATCCAAATTGTCACTAGGCGTGAATGTGAGTGTGAATGGTTGTCTGTCCCTGTGTGTTGGCCCTGCGACAGACTGGCGACCTGTCCAGGGTGTACCCTGCCTCTCGCCCAATGACTGCTGGGATAGGCTCCAGCGCCCCCCGCGACCCTGAAAAGGACAAGCGGAAGCGAATGGATGGATGGATGGATGGTAATAAGTAGGGTTTTTGTTCAGCTTCTCAGCTTTTTCTCACCCTTCCTCATTGCTTAGATAACTCCCACATTTCCCAGAATGCAGCTCATTTCACAGTGCATTGAATACTAATGCATTTTGCTGTGTAATGAAAAGTGAATTTTGCCTGTGACTAGAACACAGCACAGTTTACGCTTGAACAGCTTTCAAGTCCAGGCATGCTATTGTCACACCACGTGTATTGAATGCAATTGCCACTTTATTTAGTTTTGATTGTGTGAAACTCGCACTAAGATGCGAATAATCTTAACCCTGTGAAGTCTATCTACCCCCCACCCCTTAACCTTATTCCCCTAGAAATAGATTAGTTCCCCTCTGAATGTAGCGTTTGGATTACTTCTCATCATCAGTTATGACTTACTTAATTTTTCAGTGTACTGATTCTTTTTATGCATGTCAGCTTCTCTCTTATCTGTAATCGCTCGCGCTATGATATTGTTTTCTGGTCTTGTTGAGGGTTTGATAGTACAGTAGCTGTTGACCATCTTCATCATCTGCATTGCCTTATCATTGATTTATTTTCCACCTCCCTTTATGCACTTTAAAAACCCAGTGGAAAAAAAAGCCCTTAGCAGAGC